AATCCGAGATATTCTTCAAAGAAAAGTTTCTTTAGATTTCCTGCTGATACAACAAGGTATGTGTAGTGCTAAAATGTGGAAAGATTATAATTTTTACACCAATTATTAAATTGACATTATAACCTACATATAACATCCTTATCTAAAATGGTTGGAATATATTTTGAAAAAATTATTTTAGAATCTGACATATGTACAAACTTTTTGACCATTTGTAATATGATTAATTATGACCATCCCTGTGTAGATTTTCCAAAAACATATGTAATATTGTTATATATTAGGCTAAGATTGTATTAGGTATACTCTTAAGGATATAAACAAAAATTTTCAAAATATAAATAAAAACAAATTAATTATATGGCGTCATTTGTGATCATTAAGTATTCATAAATGTACATACTTAATTTATTTAAGTTATGATTTAGTCTTAAGTTCTTTTAAAATGTAATAAAATTTAAGACTTATTAAAATAAATGTTTTTTTTTAATTTCCCTTTACAAAATAGTAGTTCCAATATATTTATTTATTTATTATTAAAAATCATCAAATAACTTTTCAGCCACACATTACACACATTATCTTTAAATTTCTTGCAATATTTTAAGTGCAATATTTTTTTGTACTTACCTATACTACTATAATTATATATATTGTACGAAAGACACTAGTTGATTTAGTCAAAATATATAAAGTAACAAGTAAATATACGGGTATAATGAGTATATATATTTAACAATCCATTAATATTATAAATTTTATATTACAACCCTGTTGAAGGAAATTCATAACCTATAAATATTTCAAATACAGCCCTGACTTTTCCTACCCAACTGACATTAGCAAGGTCAAATTTAATTTTGCGCGGGAAAGATATAGTGATATTGCTGGTTGTTTTATTTGCCGTGGCTATGTGTCAAATGAATAAACAAAATGACACAAATAATAATTATTGTTATAGCAACCATAATTTTTATGTATCAGGCTACTTTGACTGAAATATGAAATAACATTTTTTAAAATGCTTGCAACTTCTTAACAAAAACGAATGTTCATATAAGAAAAAATGTTTGAAATTAAACAAGGTACCGTCTGTCAAAATTTGTCATAGAGCTTGTAGAACACCCTATATAAATCTTGAGTTGTTCCTTCAAAAATATACATGTTAACAAACAGTGGACCGAGATTAGAATCTTGTGGTTCAGTGAAATAATATATAGATAAAGAATTTTTTTTAACTATTGTATAAAAGTCGAATTATTAGTCTTACCAGAACGAAAAGCAGAATGGCCGATATAACTCAAGTAATGTTAGCGAAGATCGTGGGGTAATATTTCCTTGATTAAATATAAATATTTATAATTTTTTACAAGATATGTAATACCAGCATAGTAATTAGCTTATTGGAATGGTGGAATATTTAGATTGAACGTAAGAGTAAAATACGTGAAATATTACAGTTACAGGAAAAATTGTTCTTACAAAATATGTTTCAAACTGGAAGTTCATAATTCCGTAATGCCTGATAGTTTCGTTGCTTAAAAAACTAAATATTTATTTCTATTGTAAACTGACACACATGGAAATAATATGTTTATTGCAGTTTGATCGAAACTATACTCTGTACAGCCGATGAGTGTTAGGAAATGACCTTTAGACACTAATCAAAAAAATGTATTTCTATCTCCCTCTTGAAGGAAGTTATAACTCTATTAATTTGAATTGAAGTAGCGTACAACGTGCAAAAATTTTTTAGGAGTTTCTTGTCAAAAAGTAAAGAAATCCTGTATATAAATTTATTTCCAAAAATGTCTCCTATCGGAGTTACACTATCTTTAAAGGAGTAGTTAAAATTATATTTAAATCTTGAAATGTGAGTTATGCACTTCGTTTATAGCAGGGATGCACATACTTAAAGGGAACAGGGACCACTCGGGAAAAATATAAGCCAAGGACGGGCCACTACAAACAATATTTATTAACACAAAATTTTTTATTTTTAAATAGTATGAAATACAATGATAAAAATAAAATAACCTTCAAAAATGTTTGTTGTAATAATTATGTAATCATTACAATGTAATATTTCATGTTTTATTATTTTCATGCATGACATTGCATTTTATATTTGGCTCCACATTACTTGTAGCCACACGTATAATTGCTTCCAAATTTTCATTTGCCAGACGGTTTCGGTTTTTCGTTTTGTTAAGTTTCATCACTGAAAACGTTTGTTCACAAATATACGTCGATCCAAATAAGCTTGCGCATTTCAATGCATTTATTCGCAACTCTTTATAAGCGTTTTTATCAACGCAACGGTAGAAGTTGAGTAAATTACCTTCATTAAATTTGTTTCTTAAATTATCATCATTTTGCATGTCTATTAATTCCAGCTGCATTAATTCCGGCGCATTTTAGGGTGAAATGTTGAAAGGATTGCTGAAAATGTCCAATAGCGATTTAACTTTTTTGAAGTCTACAAAACGATTTTCAAAAGCTTGTATCAAAATATCAATTTTTTCAATATGAGCGAAACTGACGTCAGTTTTATTGAACTTCTCCATAATTTTTTTGTAGTTCGGAAAATGGCCGTAATTGGCTGAATTGATTCGTGTCCTGAAAAGACTCAATTTGCATTGAAAGGACGAAACACGAGAGTATAGCTGCGAAATCAATTGATCTTTGCCTTGGAGTCGCGTATTTAAGACATTCAAGTAATTTGTGATGTCTACAAGAAACGCTAAGTCACACAGCCAATCAGAGTTGTCGAGTTCGGGGACGTCGTTTTTCTTTTCCGCCAGAAATAGTTGGATTTCTTCAATCAAGTTAAGAAATCGCTGTAGTGTCAACCCACGACTTAGCCACCTTACTTCAGTGTAAAACAGGAGATCACCATATTCGCTTTCAATATCCTCGAGAAATTGTTTGAATTGTCGGTGATTGAGACCTCGTGATTTTATAAAGTTTACGGTAGATACTACTACTTTCATAACATTTTCAAATCCCAATAATTATGAACAGAGGGCCTCTTGATGTATAATACAATGAAGCTGCATTAATTCCTTGGTATTTATGTTTTTAGTTTGTAAATATGTTTTTAACAGAGTTACTATCCCAGATGTACCATTGAAGGTGCTCCGTCAGTTGTAATTCCAGATATTTTCGTTAAATCCAAATCCATTATAGAACATTTTTCTAGAAGAGCTTTGAGCATGTCACTTCCCCTGGTTTGACTTGTCAAAGAACTCATACCAATCAGTTCTTCACTCACTTCAAAATTTTGCGTTACACCTCGTAAAAATATTAATAGTTGAGCAGTTGAACTTATATCTGTAGATTCGTCGAGCGCTATAGAAAAATACTCAAAACTTCTCGATTTCGTAGCTAATTGCTCTTCTATATTATCTGCTAATGCGGTAATTCTTCTTTGAACAGTCATCCGATTTAACTGAATTTTTTTCAAACTTCCTTACATTTTCCGGACAAATTTTTTTTGCGGCGATATCCAAACATTGCTTAACAAACTCACCATCTTTAAAAGGCCGACAAGTTTTCGCTATTATTCGAGATATTTCAAAGCTAACTTCAGTGGCTGTTTCAGCATCTTGAACTGGTTTTGTAAACATAGATTGCTGGCCTATTAGTTCCCGTTGTAAAGTGGAAATTCTTTGCGTTCGATTTTCGCCAGTTAATTTGGTAAAAGTTGGATGCTGGGTTTCATAGTGCCTTTTCACATTATATTCCTTCGGAATAGAAACACTACTCTTGCATATTAAACAGACAATTTTGTTATGCGATGAAATAAGAAAGTATTTTTCGGTCCATCATGAAACTGTCGATTTTCATCTTCAACCTTACGACTACGTTTGTGGGTGGAAATTTTCGAAAACATTTTAATTGGCTCATTCCGAGTAGATTGACTGGAGATATTTGTTCCAGATTTTTTGAAGAGTCGCTTACGAGATTTAAAGAAGCCCCTGTTTTGTTAAGTAAACAAATATTGTTTAAGCACAACCCAGTTTGGTTGCTCAGCAGTATTAGGGCTGAATATCTAAATCTTTGGATAGGTACAATCTCGGCCTCTATGATTCATAAATTCAAATCATCTCGATTTCTTTTTCGAGGGACAATTTAAACAATTGGTTTATACGACAAACTCCAAGCCATTTTTGAACGTGTTCGCCAATTAATGTGTCGCAGGAAAAGTTTAATTTATTTATTTTTACCAAAGAATTGAGCGCTGAGTGAAAAAATGTATATTTTTAACTCTGTAAAAAAGACACATCGAAAAGAACCGGTAAGGACTGCAAATTTTCACCCATTGCAAAATCGCAGATGATCAAAAGTTGGATAAAGTAATATCTTAATAAAAAAAAAAATGAATTTTAACCTACGCCTTTAAAGAGGTGTAATTTCGAAAACAGACTTTTTGAAAATAAGTTTATATAGAACTCCTTGCCTCACTTTTCGGCAAGGAGTCGCCCCTTGAAGTTTTTGCAATACTAAACATCCTCTATTAAAAAATTTTTATCTATCATCACTGTTACACAAAAATAATCGCCAAAAGTTATCATATAACTTAAAATATGCTTAACATAAACTCTTGAAAGTGTGTACGTTGCCACTGGAAAACCCTATGCCTAAGAAATTAAAAATAAAGCCAAAAACATAAATATTTTGCTTATGGAATATATATTTGGTAATTCCTCACATGTAGATGAGCTGTGTACATTATACTTGACTCAATAATCTTATATGCATTGCTTCGGCAGCGCCGATAATGATTATTTTTATCTTATTGCGGCGATAATATAAAAATAATCCCAGGAAGAGTTTAACGGAAAATATCGATTTCATTTGATGTTGAGTAAAATATGAGTCTACATAAACAGGAGCATCAAATCGTGTAAACATTTCAAATCTAATTTTACCCTGAACATTAAACGAAATATTTTGTTCAAATACACCATTTTTCATTTTTATATTTCTATTTTTAGAGCTGCGGACTCCCTGCGAAGACCTCAGAAGTTCCGAGGATGAACATTCTCAACACAGTTACATTCCACATTCCAAGGTAAGAAACATCGACCACCATCGATGGATACGTCTAGAAAATAGTACAGACGGACGTCATCTTAGGAATTGAGATGTTTTTGCTCATAACTTACAAACGGTTGAACTGAGGGGAGAACACTTTGGCCAAAAAGTGTACAGTCCGTACAATATTTATTGAGATAGAATTATGTTATCCGAACTATTGTAACAATTTACTGCGGTTAATTCCAAAAAAGGGACGCAAGGGTCTTTTTGGAATTCTTCCTCAACAAATATCGTACGGACTGTACACCTGCGGACTTTTTTAAAAATAAATCCCTTTAATTCCTTCTTTAATTTGTTGGATATCCTTATAGCCCGGTCAAAATAGACATTTCAAATAACGAAAATTCCGACAGAGCTAAATTTTGGTGGAGACCTTGGGTAATCCATTAGAAATACAGTGTTAAAAGTCCCCATGTGTGCTAAAAAAGTTATTCGGGGTCAAAGGTCAAAATTTGAGGTTTTTGGATTTTTCTCGAAAACGATAAGTTTTATCAAAAAAGTAGCCCAGACAAAAATTATATATCTTAAAATTATTTACAAAAATGGTATTTATACTTTTTTTTTCTAAGAACCACCATTCCTGAGATATCGCGATTCTAAAAGTTGAAGGATTCACATTCTACATGATATGCACATATTTCCACACCGCCCGTGAGGTAGTGTACTTTGACGCGTTTTTTTTAACGTGGTTTCCCCGGTAGGTCTACTCCACGAACTGTTATGACAGAATTTTCAGGGACAATATTATTTTAACTGTATGATGATTATTGATATTGGTTATTGACTTTAACCGTAGTTCTGATTTCTTTTGATATTTTAATCTGATTCATACTCTTCTAAGTCGACTTCAATAGTCATGTCTTCTTCGATTTCTTCTTCTTCCTCTTCTTCTTGCTGGATGTTCATAAATTGTTCAAATGAAGATGAATCAGCTGTCTCTTCATCGAAATCACATGAATCTTTGTCTGTTGTATTCAATTGGGCATTTGAGCAAGACTGGCTTTGGCAATTAGTACACGCTGGAGAACACAGTAACCCTACTCTTCTACAGCCTCATTTAGCACTACAACCTTTTTGCAATTGCAATAAATAGTGTTTAGGAGTTTTTCCAGAGCAGGTGGAAGTAAAGTTTGAATCGGTTCCAAGAATTATCTGTTAATTTTCAACCCGTCTTCTGGGTTCAGTTGATTGCCTAACCATGTTTGAACCTGATAGTATACTCGATACAAGTGTTGATTAGCAGAAGCAGCCGATGTTGGAGGAAGACAAGATAGTTGTACTAGTTTTGCTTCGTGTATTTTTTACAAATGTTAAATATCTATATTTATCTATACAATCAATTTTTTTGGAGCTCCTTAACAGCAAGGGGAAAGCGAATTGCTTTTATGAGTATTGTTTGAGGTGAAGAATCAATTCCTGCAATCAATCAAATCTTTTTTTCCAAATAATTTTAATACTGATGTTTTACCCCTTCTGAACATAGCTGATGTAGCATCACAGCCGGTTATTAAAAATAAGATATGGTTTTGGCATTTTGGATAAGCAGATAAACTTTTTGAAGAATATATTTCTGTTCGCTGTTAAGCCTTTCCAGGTTTTAAAAAGTATATAATTTTATCAATTGGAGTCCTAGCAGTGAGTAGTATTAATAAGTCAACATCTTCACCACCTACAATAGTTGTATTTGTTGCATTAAATTGTTCTATTGCTGTTTCAATTATAAGGACATCTGCCTCATTTTGACTAAGGGACTGAGTTTCTTTTGAGTGTATATTCTCAGAATAGTATAGTATACATACAAGAGACACAAATAGGCATTTTTACTTGCATTAAGTGCCTGACTATGTATATGACTATGTATATGTGGCATATATGCCACATATTCATATCATATAGAACGTGACTCCTTCAACTTTTAAAATTGCGATATCCCAGGAATGGTGCTTCTTAGAAAAAAGTATAAGAACCATTTTTGTAGATAATTTTCAGATCTATAATTTTTGTCTAAACTACTTTTTTGATAAAACTTACCGTTTTCGAAAAAAATCCAAATAACCTCAAATTTTGACTTTTGATCCCGAATAACTTTTTTAGCACACATGGGATCGGTGGGGACTTTTGACACTTTATTTCTAATGGTGTACCTAAGGTCTCCATCAAAATTTAATTCTGTCGGAATTTTTGTTATTTGACCACTGTTTTTATGACTAATTTGACCGGACTATTAGGAAATTCTACTATATTCATCTAAATCACTGTACATCCTAGTAATTTCTTATGAAATACTTCTACATCGCAGTAATAACATAAAAAATAAAGTATGTTTTGCAGTTGTAACAAATATTATGAACTGAACTGATGGGGATTAGTATGAGGAGTCGGTAAATAAAATGTCCCATTTGCTCTAAAACTAAATATAGGGATAGAAATTGACAATTTAGACATATAAATTCCTGGCAGTCCGTCAAATAATATAAAATCTTAAAAGAAAAATATGTAAACAATATTTCCGGCTAGTTCCAAAACTAACAAAGCAATGTCCATCAGATTTAAAATTTAAAAATCGCTGGATCGATTCCAGTTTACCAATTTGAACACCACTGTCCGGAGACAATACAGGAGCTCCATATACAAGTTTCGATCTAACGTAACTAAAGTAAAGAGATTTTGTGATATCTGAGCTTGTAAAATCATGGTAGTTGCGAATTATAAATCCGTATATAGACCAGGAAAGGGTATCCATGCATAATTCTTCGGTAAGGCTGATTTTTTGTGAGCAGTAAAAATAGAGTAGAATAATATGTACCGTATCCGCACGCTGAAAAAGGCGTTGTTTAAAAGTTGATCAAACTTAAGAAATTCGCGTTTTTCGACTGTAACTTTTCTGATGGTTCTACAGAAAAATAGATCTACAAAACGACCTCTCCGGTCAAAAGTTACTTGCAAAAAACCGCCAATTATGCCATTTTAAATAAACAATAATAAATCGCGATGTTATCACAGAGGCTTCTTCAGATAACACTCGATAACTCCTCACTGCAGACAAATAATTTATGCGAAAGCCGGAATCCGTAAGTGGATTATTTCGCGAGATATGGCCTTATAAACAAATTAACTAATTAACGATCTGTACAAATCTGAGCGGTACCCGAAGTCGCGCCAATTTTTTTTATTGGTAGATTTAACAAAAAGCTATCGAGTTCCATCGTTTCACCAACTCGACACGGATTCTTAACGGGTAAATCTACTCGAAGTAACTTATTAGTGTTCACTCATTATCTGTCAAATATTTTGGACTCTCATGGGTAGGGTTACATGTAATCTATACCAATATATCAAAGGCTTTTGACTGTATAGACCACTGCGTTCTTTTGCAAAAGCTGGAAGGTTTTGGATGCAGCCCCCATTAATGAACCTTTTTTCTACATTAAGGATAGAACCTACTTTGCTACATTTAATGGATATAAATCGCAGTGCCATACTGCAAGTTCGGGTGTTCCCCAGGGATCCAATTTGGGTAGATTGCTGTTTCTAATGTTTATTAACGATATATGTGCTGTCAACGTTGTCAATGTTGTAATTAAACATAATACGGTTAGATTTGTTGAAGAATGATCTAACAGTACTACCAAAGAGTACTATAAGTAAAATTGCAAGATCGCGAGGAGACCTCGTCGCAAATTCACAACTACCGAGACGTATCTACGCTTTGTAAATCCTTGTTGAGTTACCGGACATAACCCATTCCGATTTTTCTTATTTCAGGAAGATCACAGTTCCGCCAAAACCCACCTCAGGATCCACAGGACGCCCTGGGAAAAAGTAAAAGGGATTATACCGGGCAGAAATAGTTTTAAAAAGAAACATCGACTTAGTGCGGCTAGTGACGACATACAAATAGATGTAGAGCCTTGTAGCGACGAGGAAGTGTTCGAGGATGACCCAAAAAGTAAATTTATCCAGTTCTTACCTCGCAGCGAGAGCTCGAAAGAAGTTCCACAGGAGGTGATTGAGAGGTACCAAAGCGCGCTGGCCGAGAACCTTGATAAGGACATTTCGAGATGGGCGATGGTGAAGAAGGCCTTCCTGATAAGCGAACACCGACATATGTCTTGCCCGGCATCACCAAAAGGTTAATTCAGTATTGTATACCAACATGCGTGGAAATAATCAGTAAAGTAGCCTGCTCTCAAACTTTGTAGAAATCGATTCCACCATTTTATTCTGCAAATATTACATATCCTGTAAAAAAATCAATATTTCAAGAAAATATTACTTCTTGGCCCTCTCTAATATTACTCTATTATTATAGTCTATTTTGTTTTTTCGTTCTGGTAACTACTTGGTTTAGTCGAAACCACACACTGCCAGTTAATGTACAAACGCTGCCTTTAAATAATAATTTTGTATCTTTCTTAATAAGGAAATTATAGTTCTATGTTCATTTGAAGCGGAACACGCTGTATATTTAAACAACTATTTCAGAATCAACCCTCGAAGACGAAATCCAGCGCGACTACAGGAAACTCCAAAAGAAACTGAGCCTGGAGTTCCAGGAAAAACTCTCCGAATGGGAGCGCCTCAAACAGAGCTCTCCAGCAGGATCCAACCCGTCCTCGTCGTGCGGCTTTGTGGAGGAAAACAAGGACCCAAACTTCCTGAAAAAGATGGAAGAATGGCAGAAAATGAAGAGCCACCAGACCTCCACCAAGACCCAAATGCCGAGCGAATTCGACCTGCCCCCAGAGTTCAAGAAGAAGTTGCAGGAATGGGAGAAGATAAAAAAATCGTCAGGGAAAGAAGCTTCGGGTGTTAAGAAGAAGCTTGGAGAAGTAGGGCGGTGGAAGTCGCTCAGCGGGCACCGATCCGAAACCTCAACAGCCTTCGAGTACCCGCCACTGTCGGAGGATTTCCGGAAGAAGTTGGACGAGTGGAAGCAAATTAAAGCAGCCGGCGGAGCTTCCAACTTGTTGCAGGCCTCGACGAAGCAAAAAGAAAAAAGTCCTAGTCCTAAACTCATAAGAAAGGACTCGTCTCCCAAGCACAGCAAGAAGCAAAAGGAACAAGATAAGGATATCTATTGGGTTGAGAAAGAGCTGAATAAAATTGAGAAGGAGAAGCAGAGATTGGAAAGGGAGCGGCAGAAGTTCTTGGAACGAGAGGAAAGGTGAATTTAATTTAAGATTTGGACTTCTATTAATGAAATCCTAAATTTCATATGCATGATTCTTTTACTGTAATTTTTTTTTTCTATTTTACTTGAAATTGTTGAAGGGTTACACAGCAATTCCTATACGACGAGGCTACGCCGATGTTGGCAAGGAAAGGGCCAATAGAGAAAAGGGCATGATACTTACCCTATGTATATTAATCAGTATATATTTACATCATGAATGAGCATCGGCAAATGTATTTAAACAGAAAAATAGTAATTTATTAGTAGCTAAGAACTATAAAAGTTACATATGAAATTGAGTATTTCCTTTAATTTGTATTCTTTACTTGTAAGTAATTACTTTTTATGCGTATATTACACACAACATTGGTATTCTTTTAATGGCTCTCATATGCTTACAGATTATCCAAACTGCGCAAGTCAGTCATAGGGGGTAACAAAAAAGAAGTTTTAATCCACACACCGTCAGGTTTCTACAGATTTGAAGGTATCTCGAGGAAATTCACGCAGAAATTATACGAATGGGAAAAAGCAAAAGGAATCGCTCCGGAAGCATCCACATTTGCCCTCCTGTCGTCTTCATACACCCCAGAAAATAAACCGGTGACAAAAAGGCACAGCACCTGTAAGTGATTGTTCTATTTAATATCTATGTTAATGAACTTATGTCAAACATTTTTGCCACATGTCCGTTATGTCAAAATGAAGTAAATATACGGATTTGCGTTGAGTACGTAATTTGTATGTAATTTTAAAATCTGGTGGGGAGGGTGGTGGTGCACATCTAACTAGGCAGCCGCGACCTATCCAGCGATCGTGAAAAGTAATGTTTAGAAACATTTAATGGTACGTCTTTCAATAACTCCGGCAAGCGATTTTGCAAAAAATCTAGATATGAATGGGTACAACGGAGCTTCTCTCCACACAACTGGATGCGAAATGTTTACTTGATGTGCGATATTTCTGGTGCTACGATGGGGATCTTCTTCGACGAGATCTAAAATCATCTCCTCGACATTTAAGATTCTTAGTGGTCGCCCTAGGCCACCGTCGCGACGTCAACGCGGTTGTTTTTCACCGGTGTTCAACTCTTTGCGCTACATCAACAAATGTTCGCGGTGCGGGGGCACGTCGTTCAGGATATCTTGCACGGTACACTTGACAAGCTCTGTGGGCATTTTCATTTGCTTCGCCATAAATTATTATGATCATATCATAATATTCGCGATTGCTAAATAAATGCGCTATTTTCAAAAGAAAACTTGGAAATAGGTCCGGCTATTAAATGTACTCTCGAAAAACAGCACAGTAATCACTACAACAATGAATTACAAACTGACTTTTGAATACAGTCCGGCTTCATATGAATCCTACAAACTCGTAAAAAGTGATGCAGAATTTTTTGTAAGTACTCGCCGCGTTCAAATGCATGTATTTCAGCAGTTCCAAAACAGTTTTAACCACAATTTTTAATTAGCTTCTTTGTCTATGACCTTAAACTTCCGATACGAGTTTGTGGCATCAATTAACTAAATTTTTGACATAAGTTCATTAACACTCTGTATACAGGGTGTCCCCGTTAGTATATTATCTCCAGTGGACGTATAGGAGGGGTCAAAATAACACTATTATCTTTAAAAACAGTTTGTACATTTGGATAAAATTTTATCGTAGTTTATTACAAATAAGTATGTATGGTTTGATGTTAAAACCGGTCTTTTGCTATTACAAGTGTCCAAAAACTCATGCATTTATTTTATTTAATTTTACCGAGTCCAAGAACCTTTGAAATAGCTAAGTGAAGCAAGATGAAGACAACAAATAAACATTTATTGAGCAAGTGTTCAAAACGAGCCCCGTGCACGATTATGCACATCCTCATTTTAAACATTTTGTGCGTTAATATTTATTAAACGATTTTAGTCATCCATGGGTAAATCGAGGCTGACCTGTTTTATGAACACCTAGGTCACCCGACCTAAATCTATTAGATTTTTTTCTGTCAGGACATCCAAAAGATCTCATTTATTTAACAGCTCTAAATGCTAAAATATAACTTTACCTGAGAATAACAGAACTGTGATCATATTCGTAACAGTCTTGGAACATTATTTGATGTGCACCGAAAAACATTCGTAGAATAAAAAAAACTTTGAGTACCTACTGAACTGATATTTACCTTTTTCTCATTTTTATTATTCTTAAATGTTTATTTTTGATTTTTAACTTGTTTCTCTTAAGATATAACCATAACCCTTTCAAGAATTTGGACCTGCCAACTTTGAATAAGCTAAGTACTGAAAAAAATTATAAAAAAATAAGTCCTAGTTATTATTTTATGAAAGTAAGTACTTTTTTACAGAAAAATCTTCAAAATATCTAAAATAAATATTTTCAGTGCGATAATATGCTTCAATTTTATGTATAAAATACAGGGTGGGCCATTAGTGTAAGAAAGTAAAATAACTCCCTTGTTACTCATAATACAGAAAAAAAGTTTATATAAAAGTTATACAGAATCAAGAAACCTAAACTACAAAATTAATTTGATACATGCAGGGTGATGAGTAAAAACGGGACACGCCAAATATTACATTTTTTAAATGGATCACCCTGTATATTTTTAAACATATGGATTTCCGAGAAAATTCTATATATGACAATATAAACAGTTTATTATTTTAGTGCGGGGTTGCCAAGTTATGTAGAAAATTCTTCGAATTTTGGAAAAAACATAATCTCGAAGAAGTTGTATTAACTTTCAGTTACTAACACTTGGAACAAAATAATTAGACAGAGTTATAGGCAAATGTTAGGAATAGATGCCTATATAAGCTAATATCGATATTTTATACAGGGCATTTCTAAAATTTTTCAAATGGAACACCCTGTATTTTATTGTTCTATTTTATTCACATATCGGTCCACTTCAACTTTTATTAAGCATGTTTTATATCTAAAATTGTTAGTTTTTAAGATATAGCAACATTTCTGAAAAAAACTTAATGCTTATTATTTTACAGAATGCCACAAATAAATATTAACTAATAAAACTAACTCAAAATGGAATGATCAATTATGAACTGACAAGTTGACACAATGTGACAGATGTTTTCCAAAGCCATTTTGTGCGACCGAAAATAATAACAATTAGGGTTTTCCAGAAATGTTGCTATATCTTAAAAATTAACAATTTTAGTTATAGAACATGCTTAATAAAAGTTGAAGTGGACCGACATGTGAATAAAATAGAACAATAAAATACAGGGTGTTCCATTTGAAAAATTTTAGAAAATCAAGTTTGAGCTTTCTTAAAACTATCGTATTAATGCCCTGTATAAAATATCGATATCAGCTAATATAGGCATCTATTCCTAACATTTGCATATAACTCTGTCAAATATTTTTGCTCCAAGTGTTAGTAGTTGAAAGATAATACAACTTTTTCGAGGTCATGTTTTTTTCCAAAATTTGAAGAATTTTCTACATAACGTGGCAACTCCGCATTAACATATTAAACTGTTGATATTGTCATACACAGAATTTTCTCAGAAATCCATATATTTCAAAATATACAGGGTGTTCCATTTACAAAAAGGTAATATTTGGCGTGTCCCGTTTTAACTCATCGCCCTGTGTGTTTCAAATTAATTTTGTTCTTTAGGTTTTTTGATTCCGCACAACTTTTATGTAAACCTTTTTTCTGTATTATGAATATCAAGGGATTTATTTTACTTTCTCACACTAATGGCCCACCTTATATGTGTTGCGACTAGTCCCTTTCTGGATACCTTGTAATACTAAAAGAACAATTTTAACATAAAATTATGGACACATTTGTAATACACTACGCCAAATATTTTATTTAAATATGCAAGAGGCTTTAAAGTTAGAACCCAGGTAGATATTTACTTGACACCCTTACATATGAACTTGTTGGTAATAAAACATTCTCATATTTCAACATTTGATTGTAGCTAACACCCCTCCCATCACCCGTTCAATGTCGGCGGACAGCATAGCGATCTCAGCTTTAAACCTAACGTGTCCCCTGATGACCCACCAACCCTCCAGTTTGTCCCTAAACGACGTAGAAGAATTGGAAAAGGAGTGTCTAGCTAATTCCAAAAGTTCTTCGATGCAATATCTAATCGGGTCCGAAGAGGCTTTAGATATGGACGAACCTGAAGCTGTCTTAGTGGAAGTGGAAGATTACGAAGAAGAAACAGCTGCACCGCTTCATACTTACGTCGAGAAGCATCAGCTTCCAATTTACCAAAGACAGGAGGGCAAGGCGTTGTGGTAAAATAAATTAATATTACGTTAAATGTGACTACTTGTGTAATTTTATTACAGCGAAGGTGAGACGATAGCAGCACCAAAGATAAGGAAATCTGAGTCTACAAGGGCACAAGTGAACTACAATTTAATAGAAGATATTATAAACGTACTGAAGCAGTTAGCAGAAAACGAAGTAGAAGTCAAGTAAGTGAAGTGAATAGCTTTGTTTCTAGTTCAAACAGTTTCAAAACGATGGATTTTGAACCTTATATAAGCATCATCGGAATGCTCATACGTTTGGAACTGTTTGGGATTGTTCTAGGAACAAAGCTAATATCGTTGGTTGTGATACAAAATCGAGTAACACCGAAAAATTCATTTTAAAAGATTGAAGAACTTGTTCTAAATTTTAAGCCACATTTGTTTGCAAAGCCATATATGTATATGCCATAATCAAATAGTTTTAATGTTATAGCCAGAGCAGTATGATAAAATAAAAAATAATCAGATTGTAGCCGTTGTCAACAAATAGAGCGCCAGTGGCGTTCACTGCATTAAGTAGACATATACAGGGTGTAAGAAGTTTGACTGCCATTTCTTCAGCATGAGATAGAGTAATCATAAATGAACAAAAAGTTGTATATTGCAGGCGCGTAACAGTTTTCAAAATACAGCGAATATTATTCTTGGGGAGTTTCATCACAACGTGACAACAGCGCTTAACCTGCTGATGCACATCACGTATGCACGTGGCAGACTTGTCTTACGGAAAAAATGTAAACAACTATTATTGTGAAACATTTAGTAAATTTCAAGACAATTGTTTTTCAGTTTTTAAATAAATAAAATAAAATGTATCGATTTTGTAGTACGAAGATAGTGTAGTGCTTAAATTCTAGCTCGAATTTTAGTAATTATGAATCTCTTAAAACAGGAACTTAACTTTTAATCAAATTATGTATTTGAAAAAAATGTAATTAAAGTACCCAAAAATTTACGTCGTCCAAATAATCATATGTAGTAAAAATAATTTAGGTAATTACCAAAAAGCAAAATTCAGTAATTTTTAAACGCACAGACTATGCTCGAAATGTCCACCACCATATTCTATGCACGCATGACAGTTTAGAAACCAATTTTCGCGCATTCGCTGGAAAACACCTCAAGAAAAGGAAATAGTGGTACGCAAAAAACACTCCGACACGGTCGAATCCAGATACCAACTGAAGTGAGTATTGGTGGTTGCTGGACACGTTAGTACCTCGTGTTAATAAACCTCTGCATTGTTGTTATATTGCTTGATATGAATTTTATCGAATTTTAAATTTATTACAACACAAATTATTTTTTAGAATTAAGCATAAAGAAGTTCAAAAAAGTGATAAACATTGTATTTTATGGTATTCTATACACGCAGTTGTCAGTATTCCTTAATTAAACGAACTTTTGTACATCAAATTTTAATAATTTTTTTCTCGGAAATGATTACGTTTAGGACTCATGTCATATAAGCTTTTTTGTTTATTTTAATGTATTCTATCATCTGTTAAAATTAAGGCAGTCAAACTTCTAACACCCTGTATAAAAATAAAAAATATCTGTAAAACCATTAATGGATATAAAAAGTGTGTGTTCCGTGATCTAAGTATAACAAAAAAATAAAGACCTGTTAGTTTGATGTCCCAAAAATTCGTTTCGATGTACCTAATTCATTGGTTTATGGATATAAGGACTACTAGATCGAAAGAGTCAAGAAATAATTATACAGGGTGAGTGGGTGTTATGGGAAAAATTAGAGTATTTTTAATTCAATATAAAATTTATTAATTTGCCTTCCTACTAGTTTCGGCTATTATGCCATCTTCGGGGTAGAAGAAAAATGACAATCATCGGAAAAATAAATTGCTTCATAAACTATTAATAAATAACATAATAATTTGACCAAACGTAAAAGATGTTAGTGTATTATAAAAAACCTTTTTAAGTCACCGTAACAGATTAAGGACAAACAACAATAATTTTTATTTCATGAGTTTTAAGGAATAAGGTTTTCACCCAACCCCATAAAAAAAATCACAAAGGTTAAGATCTGGTGACCTGGCCGGCCACGCAGTTGGCCCTCCACGACCTGCCCACTTATTACGGAATGTAATAATCTAAGAACTGGTAGTTCACATCTAAAAATAAAGTTTATGTTGAAATGAATTTATGCATTTACTTAAAAATATTCAGATAGTCGACGATATCAGCAACAAATCTATTTCAATGCTTTTTTAGGAATTTGAGCCAAGGTGGTGCGAAATATCAACAAACCTCGGAAATTGTACCTAAATTAGAGGTAAGTAAATATTTACCCTTATATTCCCCAAAACTATGCAGTAATTTTTTAGATGATATACGAAGACCAAAAGCAACTGTCAGTAAACTTAACGAAAAAATTGCAAAGCCTCCAAGAAGCGAACACATCGGTAATTTTAGCAATTCTGAGGGAAGAAGAAAACTGTCAGATGAACATAACAGAAACACTGGAAGCAGTTCAAGATGTATCAAACGAAATTATTCAAATGGTAATGGTGAATTGTGAAATTAGCGACTAAGGTAACACTTTTCTAAATTTTAGGCAGAGCAAATGGATCAACACTTCAATACAAGGTCTCCTCAAAATTTTAGTTCGACGTATAAAAACTATCTCTTGGTATTTGAAAATATCCGCGATATTAGAACGAAAATTCTCGATTTAAGACGACACTTAAGCTATGTGTGTGCCGCAACAGGTAAATTCTATTAGCAGTGCAGGATTGATTAAAGTCATAAAACATTATGTTCCAGATTCAACAGCACCCAGAAAATTGAGTGGCAAAAAGAAAACTCTAGTACAAAAAACAATTTCGAACGAATCGAAATCTTCCCGATGCGACACGAGCGACAACTCAAGAAGAGGAAGTCAGAAGGACGAAAAGCGTTACATAAAATCGGAAAATACCAGTTCCAGCAACAGTCACAGCCAAGGTGCTGTAAAGAAGAGAATAAAATACCGACAGAAGGTGATGCAGAACAGAAGCTTGCCAGACACTGACGATGAAGAAGAAGACGAAGCTGCAGAGCAGAGGAAAAATAACCGGCAACATAAAAAACTGACACGAGCTAGGACGATATCTGAAGTGTATCCAGGTGTAGAGCCAGAGACTCCTGGATTCTTACCACAGAAAATTATCGTTCCCACCGAGACTAACTACGTTGTAGTTCAAGAGGAACCTAAGCTGCCTCCGGAATCCCCTTTGACCGTATTCGTGAAAACAACAAGGAAACTGTTCACTCCCATAGCCGAAACAAACCTAGCTGATACCGGAAAATCGTCAACAAACGAATCTCCCAGCATCGTTATAGAAACCACCATACCGTTTACGAAGGACGCAGAATCCAAGAAGAGTCAGGAAGAAAGTCCTAACTCGGAAGATAAGAATGCAAACACGACTCCGGAAGAAAACGTGTCTGTGAAATCACTACCACCCTTACCGGCATCTCCAGTTCCACAGAAGAAGGTCTTGAAAGACATTTCGCCCAGTATAAGATTGATGCTGGCTAAGTACAACCAGAAGATAACCGAGCAGGAAAGTCCGAGTGCAAAATCTGGCAATAGCAGTGGGTCCAACTCGCCTATAGCTTGGCGATCCCCTGCCGCAGAGCGAAGGGTCAAAGCGCAAACAGAGAAATATCAGGAGGAGCTAATAAGAATGTCTCCACTTTTAGGTAAAGGAAAAATAAGTACTCCAAAGCGATAATTTTACCAACTTGGCATATTTTTTATTATTTTTTCGCTTTTCTTACGAATAATCACAGCTTTCTGTCAGATTATATCTTCTAGACGTGTAGGATTATACAAAAGTCATCTTCAACGGCCACCAAAAGCAAGTGGTACATTTTTTGTTTTGTAATTTGTGCCACCATTTCGAAATTTGTAGATTGTGCTGTTTCCTAGAAAAATTATGGCTTCTAAATTATGAAACCAGAATTGTTTCGCTATGATTTCTAGTTTCGGAGCAATTCGATGGTCTCCTCGCGTAACATTATGTGTGTTTCTATGGCTATTGTTACGGCATTGTGGGTAGAAAGCAGAACAACGATTTTCTATCAAAAATGCTGCCACTGCCGATTCTTTTTGAGTTATAGTGTGTCAAAATTTAAATATCTTCTGCGCAATTTTGAAAATTTTCATTTAAAATGAAACTTTGCATTTCAGAAACTGCAAAAAAACTTTCCTACAATGATGTGCCATAATTTTGGACGAAAATGGTTTGATATGAGACTTATTTTTCTGTTAATTTCCATTTTTATTCATTTACTGTCAATATTTAAATTATTCATGCGTTCATAACGTGTATAGAGAACTTTAACACTCAGTGTGTAAGAAAATAACAGCTAAAAGTATGTCATATCTTAAATAATAAGGTCGAAACTGATCTAGATTTGGGATTTTACTCAAGAACAGTTTTTGTTGTTTACTCGATATTGTAGGTGTCGTTCAATACGGGGTCTGTAGCACGCAGAACAGTTGCTTCCTACAGTACTTTTAGTTAAAAACTTTATTGAAATTGAATTAAAATTAGAAAGCCTAACCTCAAGAAAGTTATGCCTAGCAGATGAACGAAACACTAAAAACATACCCTAAATTTTATTGCAATACCTTATTTTTTGAAAAAGACATGGCCAAAAGTTTCCTTAGGAAAAATATTCCTACTTTTTGATGTTCTATGAGCCCCCGAGTTTATAGTATTTGTAGGAACAGTTTAAATAACAAAAAGGCTATTCCAAAAATCTTCTCAGCTTTCTTTTGTTTCGCAAACGTTAAATTAACAATTTCTTTCCACCAGGTGAGCGCAGAGAAGTTCAAAAATCGGCCAGCGTAAGCTACCTGAGCTCTGGCACCAAACAAGTCACCGTCCCCTTAAGAAGAGAGTCAGTCCAAGAAAATTTACTGTGCAACCCTTCAACGACTTGTACTAGCGGAATAACGGAAGAGGAAACTCCTGGACAGCCCCCAAGACGCCCGGACAGGAAGACTTTAACCTTGGACATAACACCGAACCTACCAGACATATCCAACAGACATTCTCCCGAAATAAGGCTGAAGAAGCTTCAAAAAGCTAAAGAGGAGTTTCTCAGATCCACACCTGTATCTGCTCCTGCGCATATCAACGAGGAAATCATCAAGTTTCCCACGAGAAATCGTCTGAGTCAGATCAGCGTGGACAGCGAGTCCAGCTACGATAGTACCCTACCTGGAGCTTTGATAAAATCGGCAAGTGTGGGGATGATAAACGTAGACCCAGACACTTACAGACAGATAGACCCCGAGTTACATGGGGGTGGGTACGTTTCTCTACCACGCAGCACCTCGAACCACAAAGGGAACAAGTTCGGTTTCGCCAGCATTGCCTCCAAATTTAGGAAAGTCAAGATGAGGAAAGGCAAAGAGCGAGGTGACAGGAACAAAGAAGGCATGAACGCGGTCTCAGCGTTGTGCAGGCATAGTTTGGTGGTGGATATAACCAAAACTAACCTGGAAGACGGACATGCTGTGGAAGGTGAAGGTTCTGGTTTGCCTCCAGCGCCGTCGGCTCATAATTCTGCGACTAGCAACAACAACCAACATTCTAGAAGGGGAGGATCGCCTTCTTCCTCTACGAATACGACGAAAAGTAGTACTAGTTGGTTGAAGAAATCGTTATTTAAAAAATAATGATATGAGATACTAACAAGGTTTATACATATGTAGAATAATAAAATGTTTATTAATTTTAGAATAGATTTTCGTTTTATTTCAATTATTGCTAGATTATTTTTCTTTGTTCTTTTTTTTATTTAACAAACTGTTATTTACAATACTCCTATATGTACTTATACCACATTCCACCAAAAACAATTTATCTCTTATTGTTTGTTTGACAAAGTACCGCAATCAACTGCCATTTTGGATGAAAATCCCAAATGCCATCCTTGAAATACAAATTCCAGTTTTTAATCCATTACATTTTTAGACAATTAAATAATGTTCATATATTTTGAATAATTCATTATGCAATACTGGCATGCCTAATCCCTATTATCAACTTTGAATTATAAGATTCTTTTCGCATTTTATCGCAATACGCATGCGTCAGTCTATTGAAAACTGCTTTGCATTGCTCTATAGCAGGGATGCACATACCGCGGCCCGCGGGTCACATGCAGCCCGCTGTCGATGTTTATGCGGCCCGCCAACGAATTTTAAAAGTATTCTACTCGCCGCGCTCCGGTCCAAGCATATTATTACGAGACTAGAAATCTGTCGCATCAACTAGATTATAGATTCGTGAAAGAAGATCCCCGAACAAAGTGAATGGTTCTCGATGTTTGGGAACTCGTATAAATACGACGCATCGCCGGCTACCGGGGCAGTTAAGTTTTGACTACGGATAAGCGAACGTTATACTGTTTGAGAACTGTAGTCTGTGACGAGTAAATATTTCGGCGTTCGAACTTGGCTTTTACCGACTGTAACATATAATATTAATTTTGATATTGATAAACCAGGTCCCAGTAAGAAACGTAGTCGTAAGGTTGAAGATGAAAATCGACAGTTTCATGATATTTGGACCGAAAAATACTTTTTTATTTCATCGCATAACAAAATTGTCTGTTTAATATGCAAGAGTAGTGTTTCTATTCCGAAGGAATATAATGTGAAAAGGCACTAAGAAACCCAGTATCCAACTTTTACCAAATTAACTGGCGAAAATCGAACGCAAAGAATTTCCACTTTACAACGGGAACTAATAGGCCAGCAATCTATGTTTACAAAACCAATTCAAGATGCTGAAACAGCCACTGAAGTTAGTTTTGAAATATCTCGAATAATAGCGAAAACTTGTAGGCCTTTTAAAGATGGTGAGTTTGTTAAGCAATGTTTGGATATCGCCGCAAAAAAAATTTGTCCGGAAAATGTAAGGAAGTTTGAAAAAATTCAGTTAAATCGGATGATTGTTCAAAGAAGAATTACCGCATTAGCAGATAATATAGAAGAGCAATTAGCTACGAAATCGAAAAGTTTTGAGTATTTTTCTATAGCACTCGACGAATCTACAGATATAAGTTCAACTGCTCAACTATTAATATTTTTACGAGGTGTAACGCAAAATTTTGAAGTGAGTGAAGAACCGATTGGTATGAGTTCTTTGACAAGTCAAACCAGGGGAAGTGACATGCTCAAAGCTCTTCTAGAAAAATGTTCTATAATGGATTTGGATTTAACGAAAATATCTGGAATTACAACTGACGGAGCACCTTCAATGGTTGGAAGTACATCTGGGATAGTAACTCTGTTAAAAACATATTTACAAACTAAAAACATAAATACCAAGGAATTAATGCAGTTTCATTGTATTATACATCAAGAGGCCCTCTGGTCAAAATTATTGGGATTTGAAAACGTTATGAAAGTTGTAGTACCTACCGCAAACTTTATAAAATCACGAGGTCTCAATCACCGACAATTCAAACAATTTCTCGAGGATATTGAAAGCGAATATGGTGATCTCCTGTTTTGTGATACTGAAGTAAGGTGGCTAAGTCGTGGGTTGACACTACAGCGATTTCTTAACTTGATTGAAGAAATCCAACTATTTCTGGCGGAAAAGAAAAACGACGTCCCCGAACTCAACAACCCTGATTGACTGTGTGACTTAGCGTTTCTTATAGACATCACAAATCACTTGAATGTCTTAAATACGCGACTCCAAGGCAAAGATCAATTGATTTCGCAGCTATACTCTCATGTTTCGTCCTTTCAATGCAAACCGAGTCTTTTCAGGACACAAATCAATTCAGCCAATTACGGCCATTTTCCAAACTACAAAAAAATTATGGAGAAGTTCAATAAAACTGACGTCAATTTCGCTCATGTTGAAAAAATTGATATTTTGATACAAGCTTTTGAAAATCGTTTTGTAGACTTCAAAAAAGTGAAACCGCTATTGGACATTTTCAGCAATCCTTTCAACATTTCACCCGAAAATGCGCCGGAATTAATGCAGCTGGAATTAATAGACATGCAAAATAATGATAATTTAAGAAACAAATTTAATGAAGGTAATTTACTCAACTTCTACCGTTGCGTTGATAAAAACGCTTATAAAGAGTTGCGAATAAATGCATTGAAATGCGCAAGCTTATTTGGATCGACGTATATTTGTGAACAAACGTTTTCAGTGATGAAACTTAACAAAACGAAAAACCGAAACCGTCTGGCAAATGAAAATTTGGAAGCAATTATACGTGTGGCTACAAGTAATGTGGAGCCAAATATAAGAAAACTTGTTAGTTCAATGCAATGTCATGCATCAAAATAATAAAACATGAAATATTACATTGTAATGATTACAAAATTATTACAACAAACATTTTTGAAGGTTACTATATTTTTATCATTGCATTTCATACTATTTAAAAATACAAAATTTTGTGTTAATAAATATTGTTTGTAGTGGCCCGTCCTTGGCTTATATTTTTCCTGAGTGGCCCCTGTTCCCTATAAGTCTCTATAGGAACAAAGCTATAAGATTTATAGTTGTTTTGATAACCGACAGATAACGTATAGTTGATTTTCATATATCTTTCGTTTAATTGGAAAATATAGAACCTTCAATAAAAAAATTTTTGATTAGTATGAATATGATGATTAGTATCATATATTTCTTCGAAATACCTATCTAAAATGAATTCGAATCAATAGTATCTCTGCCCTTGGTAATATAATTTATATGCAAATTCAGTGAATGTGTATCTGTAGTTACTATCAAGTTTTCAAGTATTGCTACAGCAATCGAGAATCGAGATGATTCAATACATACAAGAATTTTCACCCATTGTATTTCGAAAACTAGTCTGTTTCCGACGTTTCATATTTTTTTCTTTAAAATAGTTTAGAGAACCACTCTGTTTATAACCGATAATTAAGTACCATATTACAATGCTTCAAATCTATTAGCTTTTTACAAAAAAAAAATTATATTGCAAAATTCATCTCCATTCTTAATACTACCGAAAATTTGTTTGGATTTTATAGGTTTGTTCGTCGCAATTTTTTGTTTATAAAAAGACAAATTATTTTTTGTAATCTAAATACCGCTCTCTATCAATTACAGATATTACCAAAATACCTGAGACATATAATTTTAAAAATAAATTCTCTATATTTCTATAATTCCCGGAAACGGAAAGCGGATTGCTAAATCACCGTCCTTTTAAGATAACTTTGAAAACGTAAACATTAAAATCAATTAAAACTGCATTTTCGATAAAGCCGAAATAATACAATTGATGGACACCGGTCCCTCCTACACTGGAAATGATTGACGATTTTTCGATTCGAAATGAAGAGTCACTAGCCGCAGATGGACAAATAATTGACCGTCTCCACGGGACACCTACGGTGTGCTACCGAAGGTCTTTCGGCATTTCGTACCAATTCCATTGAAGGCAACACAGTTGCCTATTACCGTTTGCTGCTAAGGCTCGTGCCTATAGTAATTTTATATTTAGTTTTAAAAACGTATTAATGTAAAGGCAAGGGGTCATATTAACATTTTGTTGTTTTAACAATATACTTTTCATGTATTCCCTAGTTACGCTGCTTTTTGGTTCGAAAGAAATCCATTTTTTTAATATGAAAATGATGCTTAACAGGGTAAATATTAAAAAATAAGTAGAGAGGGATTAGAACAAACTTCTTTGTTTAAGTAAGTCTTCTTACTTATTTTTAAAAGAAATTTAAACTTCCAAATATTTTTCACGATGGAAGCTTAATTTACCATAGTGGAACCACCGAAACCATTCCATCACACTTTAATTTACTATCTATATTTTTTAAACTGTTTCACAGCTCATTTAAGAAATTGCAACGATGGTGATATAAACTACGCAGCTTTTTGTTCCAAATGCTCCCGACTCCTATTCCGATTGTCATTGTAAATTGCAATATGCTGCTCCAGAAGTAAAATTCAAAAGACTTTTTTTGATATCAGTATTAGTACTATTAGTACCTACCTATCCTTCTTAAACTTTCTTTTATCCTAAATACGATCATGCAACATAAAATAACAAAACATATACATGTATAGGTAACTCATCCTTTTTATGATAATATGCGATATAGTCCAATGAAATGTTACATTTTTTTGGGCTTAGCGTGCAAAAGTCAGAGCACGCAATTTTATTTTTTAGATTTCAAGAGGGGGTTAGTGTAAAGTTAAATCCATGTTTGTGGGGTCGCAACCCTTGTGCATCGGCCGCCATCTTGTAAGAAGGGCTGCGAATGGTTTTTATACTACTCCTTACTATATCGGGCAAATCGCACAGAAAATTTGTAAATGCGTTTTTTGTTGCAAATTAAATTCTCTACAAATTTGGTTCTGTAACTTTTAGTGGTAGACCCAAAAATAACAAAGTTATTAACGAAAATAGATAAAAATTTGGGAACAAATTTTCTTTTGGTCGTTATAACTTTTTTTCTGGTCATTTTACAAAAAAAATACATCAGAGCATTTTGATAGAGGGGTTTTCAAGGAATAATTTCCATTACAAACTTTTTCAAATTTTATATATTTATTAGGGTTTTACAGCGATGCGAAATTTACACTATTCTCCAGTACTAGTAAGTACCTATACATTAATATACATGATTAGGCATAGTTTTCTCTCATCTTTCCATTATTTTTATAA